GAATAAAGCTAATGTGAAGTACAGGTTTGTTTCTGGATATGAGCTACAGCTTCGTAAACAGTGAAGTTTTAAGATACAGATGTCTACAGGGTAGTGCTGATCTTCAAAACAGCTTTGGCACAATGCATGCTGCTTCCAACAGGACAAACAGAAATCCTGTATTAGCACTCAATTCAGGAAGGAAATCACATGTACTGTTGCATGTGACCACTGACAGGAAAGATATTCTCCTGGGTTTCTGAGTACAGATGACTGGGGGAGTGGTTATCAATCTTCAGGGAGGATGGATGATATGTAACATTGACTCATACAATTACATTAAAAGGAATTAATGAAACATATACTACTTGAATTGAGGGTCAAAGTCTCTTCCAAAATGTTAAGAAAACTCCCTATTTGCTCATCTTTGGGGCTGAACAGAAATGTACTTTGCCCTGCATGTCAGCATAGAACACCTAGCCGTTTTAATAAGGCAACACAGAACATCTGTTTGGCCTTCAACTTACTGGTCTTGTCTTAGACATACTTTTATTATGATAAAATAATACTCATGTCAAAGTGTTTAAATATGGTAATAAATAAATAATAAACATTTTTATTTAGACTGAGCTTTGACATACATAAGATATCGTCTCTTGAATTATGTGTTTGGAAAAATGTGTTGGCTGATATCCAGCCAAAGGAATGAGTAAGATATTCATCACATAGCCAGTAAGGAAAAAAAGGAAAAGAAAGGTTAGAAACATAAAATAATCAAGAGGTAAGTAAACAAATCTCAAATATTATTTTCTCAAACAAGTTTGTTTCTGCCCTCACTCTCTGTCCTGATGTTGCACACTGTGTTACTATGAGCTCATCTTCCACTTCCTTCCCTGAGGACAGGGTGCAGATTATCAGAGCCTAGGGCACTGTCTACCGAAATCCAGCAGTGATCTGCTGAGGGAGTACAGGTCGATGGACACGTTAGTCAAATAAATACTGAAACTTCAGGTCAAGTTCATTTCATGGAATGAATATTAAAAAAGCAATTATTAGAGGATTGCGAAAATTTCAGTTAAAACAGAAATTTGTGGTCATGGATCAATGCTATCTTATTAAAGCCACAGAGAATGTAGGGGCTGGGAGGACAGGGGCTGCCAGAGACCTGTGTTAAAGTTAAACTAGAATAACGCTCCATGGTGACAGGATTGGAGATGCGTGCTTATATTAAACTATGCTTCAGTAATCATCAATATTTGCAAGAGATTGTTGTACATTTCTTTTAACTCAATCATAGTTTATTGTCGTGGGTGTAAAAACTGGCAATATTTAAACTCAAAGTGGACTCAGGAGAGAATTGTTCATGTCTTACTACTTTGGGAGGGTTGTCTTTTATATTTTGGTGAGATTTTTGTTTTGAGACTTCTTTCTATCTTCCAACAGGAGAAACAAAACACACTGGCAAAATCAACTGCCTTGTTTTGATTCTAGGATGAATTTTGTTTGTTTATTTTTTTTTTAAAGTTCACCTAAAAGTACGGCATCATAGTATCCACATACCATATACCGGCAATAAAAATGCACAGTTTTGCTTTTGAAAAATGTCAAAAACAAATAAATGTTGCAAAATATGATTTCTGCATGATTAAGCATCTCAAAATACTTTCAGTGAAAACAGAGTATTCAGACTCATGAATGGAGTGGTAAATCATTGTGAATGAATTTCTTTTTCTTACATAGATCTATCCTTTATTTCAAGATACCCCCATTATTTGCTGTTAGACATTGCAATAAAAATATTGTATTTCTGCCCACCTCTCGAGTATTTATAACATAATTATAAATGCCAAATAATCTTGGGAGGTCAAACACCCCATGTGAATGACCTCGAATCAGAGGCAACAAGTAGTCAAAGGGCCAAAACAACAAGATGCCAAAGGGCATCAATAACATTTGTATTACACATTTCATAAGTTCTTCAAGGTTTCCATCTAAACTCTCTAAGGATTCTTGGCAATTCAGATATATCATTGAAGTCCAACTATGTAACCAGATACTGGTTTAGAAATAGCCTTATTTTTAAAATAATTATTAAACTATGCATGTATTTACTTAGTTTGTTTTTACATTTGTGTGAGTGGGTGTGCATAGGCACAGGACATAGCACACATGTGGAAGCCACAGGACAAGTCGTGAGAGTCTCTTCTCAGCCTCTCCCACGTGGGTTCTAGGGTGGAACTTGGGTCAGCAGGTGGGCTGGCGAGCACCACATTTAAATGGATCAATCTGACAGTCCTGAGCCTTTATTTTTAATTATGTTCTTATTGCATATTTTTCTCTGAGTCCTCAAGGGGGAAAAGCACTATAAAAAGCTCAGAGACTCAAGGAAGATATATTTTAGGCATGCCATTTGCACACCTAGGTGCTCACATATGCTTGCTTCCTGTCGTGACTGCTCATGAGCGAAGGCCAGGATGTTCGGATGCCTGCTATGTGTTCCAGTTGGAACAGATGACATCAAGGTTCATCCATGATAGGAGAAAATGGCAAAGGTTTTGTGGTTATTTCTTACTAATAATTATTCTAAGGAAATGGACAGAACGCATGTAAAGTATTGTTATGCAGAGACTTAGCAACTCTTGGCACCTGAAGCAGGGCACTAACCCAATACCTAGTAAATAACCTCATCACCTTGGCAGAAGAGTGACCAGCAGTCATTCACTTCTTGATGGTTCTATTGGAAACACTTCAGAATACAATACGGGCTCAGCATTTCCTTTAATAGGATTCTCCTCCATTTCCTTAGACAGTCGAGGACAGCTCAAATATTTTCACAATCTAGAGAACATCCAGGGAGCGAATGCCACTCAACTGAACATATGGAATATATATTTGGAGAAAAGCCAACTGGAGCCCTGCTCAAGTCACCCAACGCCCGAGCTGAGAGGAGCTAACACACAGAGGTCAGCAGGCGCTTTGAAGTTCTCTGGCCTTCATTCTACCTAATTAAGACAAGATTTAATAATCAAACCACTGTACAAACGTCTACCTCAGTGTAGAGGTTTGTTTCTAATTTGGGGGACAATTCTTAACAGATTCCAGGGAGTCAGCCCCACATAGGAAGGGCTGCTGATAAGATTGGCTTTGCCTGTTGCTCGAATGCAAATGCCTGCTTTTCATCTTAGGTCGATTCTGAGACTGAGCTTAGCATCTGTAGGTCAAATCTCAAGCATGATCTCAAAGAGAAAAATGTGGCATTAGCATCCCATCTGAAACACTGAGTCAGAAAAAGTGAATTCTAAAATAGTCTAAAGGTATTCATGTAAAACATGTGATTCCAAAGGGGCATACTTGCCTAATTTATCAACAGCTATGTCAGTGAGTGTATGAGTGTGTGTGTGTGTGTGTGTGTGTGTGTGTGTGTTCCATGCACTTTTATAAATGTGGAAATGTGCGCCAGCAGAGGCTTAGCAGTTCAATTGTGTCAGTTTACCTGCAAGTTTTATAAGCAAAGCTAACTTCGAGTCAAAGATTATGAGGCCAAAGCATAGGATTCCTACTCTTTCAGCCCATACACCTTCCTTGTAATGCTCACATTTTAAAAAAGAATATGCAGTCATTTTAAGTTGTTCTGGAATGCCACAAAACAAATCTCACTCTACCAGAAATCAAGAGTAAGCCTGTGCAGTCCAGTTATGAACAATGCAGCAGGCAGAAAAAGAAGCTAAGTCCTTCCAGAAGAATCTGATTTGACAGACATGAAGTTAGCAAACTTAGAGAAACGCTATAGCAAGCAAATGATTCAGAAAGAGTCTAAAACAGTGGTTCTCAACCTTCCTAGTGTTGTGGCCCTTTAAATACAACTCTCAATCATAAGCTTATTTCACTGCTTCTTCAAAACTGAAATTTTGCTAGTGTTATGAATTATCATGTAAAATCTGTGTTTCCCGATGGTCTTGGATGACCCCTGTGAAAGGTCGTTCAACCCCCTAAGGGGTCACGACGTACAGGTTGAGAACCGCTGGTCTACAAGATCTCATGAAAGAAGGTTGGAAACAGCTCAATTCCACCTTGATACCCCACCCCACTCACAGTAGACTGTCTCCAAAAAGCAAGTGGCTAGGCTGGACTGCTCAGAGCTCTTCAGTCCACGCTCCTCTCAGGAGGCCCTCCTTGAGCAGGGATGGGGGTGGGGAGGAGGTAGCGTGGGGTAGGGCTGGCACAAGATGAAGATCCCTCTCTTCCTGCCGTGAGGAAGATGTGAAGGACAGTTATGCTATCTGCATCCAGCACGGCTCACCTTGTTGCGCTTGCATCTGCGACAAAGCATCTACTAAGCTGAGCTGTTCACCTATTCACCAGTGCACAACAATGCCATTAGGACACGCATGCGTGTGACAGAGTACCACGAGAGAGAAGGATCATAGCCTACAAATCCACAGAACAAGCTATCCCATGCCAGGATTACACCGCCATCACTGCTACTTTGTGGCTGTTTAGGGATACAGGCTGTCATTGTTTCAGCCCAAATCAAGGGACTGGGGAGAAATTACCAGAAGTTTCAACAAAACTGTTTCAAATGGTTTTTGAAATGAAGTAGGCCTACTGAAAAATTAACACAACCTGGATGGAAACATGTTGCCAAGAAATGCCATGCTGGCTTACACTGCCCTGTCTGTCAGCACCTGAGGTACCCCTCCAACTTGTTTGACCACACGTTTACCCTGTGTTACAAGGAGGCTTCATCCACGCAGGACTTACGTCCCTGTGAATGAAAACAAACACCCTCTTGATCGTAAATCATATTGTTAACCCATGATCTCAGTCTTACTTCAACGGTCCTGTAGACAGAAAAATGGTGAAAACAGTGGCATTAGGGTCCTGTCCTTCAACCCAGATGTCTGTGTGAGCATGGTGACCTTTGCCTTGTGTGTGATCCCAACTTCCCCTCTCATTCCCAGCAAAGAGACCCTTGACTTGGAAACCGGTACTTTTAGTATTAACGTCGGTTCATGGCTTACTTTGTTCATGTGGATCTGCTGCTGGTACTGCTTCTGCTTTTCCAGGAACTGCTGGTGTTGCTGCTGAATGACCAGCTGAGCCAGCGTGCTCTGAGGCAAAGGCGCAGACTGGGTTCGATTCAGGGGTCGGTGACGGGGCAGTTTGTGGGTACCTCTAATGCCTGGTGAAATTCTTTCTTTCGTTGCCAAGGGAGACTGAGGGTGTAAGGGAACTCCACCTAAAAAACAAAATGCGCGCGCGTGTGTGTATATTGATATGTAAACAAAGATGCACTGGTAGATACTTTTAAGAGAAGACAAGAAGCACCTTCGAGACAACTGAAGACAGGCACGTTGGGTGATAGAAGACATGAGTACCAAGACGTGACTAGGCTTATGTCTGCACAGCAGAAGCATCAACCAGCAAAGCAGCTTGTTATATCCAAGGGTCCCCTCCCAGCTCCACCTTACAGACCAGGAACACATAATGCTCATAGCTCCTCCCCCAGTGCCAAGTGTCTGGCCCTTGTACAGCAGCAGGAATCATCACTACAGTTTTGAGTTAGAGAAACGTCACACTGGATCACGAATTAACAGTACTGAAAAAACTTGAAAAATGATGTCATTGTTAATTACCAGTCACAAGGAGCTTCTGCTGCCGCATTTGTTCCTTCAGCAGTAGGTGCTGCAGGAGAGCTTGGTGGCTGCTGTTGGGTTTCCCCTCCATCGCGACATGAGCATGGCTGGAGGGTGCCGCAATGCCACCGCTGTACTGGCCAGGCAAAGGGACTCCCTGCCTGAGGATCTGTGTCTCTGACTTCTGCTTTTCCTTGAGTGAATTAGAAGCCTGTGCCAAGAGAGAAGCAACGTGTTAATCCTCCTTATCCTGGTGACACACCAGGCCTCTAGCTATTAGGTAACATTGAGAGGAAAATGCATGATACTGTATCTTTTACACGACTTTTAGCAGCATAAGAGAATTAACAAAATATACAATTGTGGCATTGGAAACAATTTAGCGATTGGGTATCATTGTATGGAGCCTAAGGAAAATTTGAGTTACCTATTAAAGATGAGAGTAAACAAAACCCTCAACTACTCAGGGAAAACAATTTTAAATGTTTTGTCATTTATCCTGGTGATAATGGTTACATAAATAACAAAATATACTTCAAAATTTCTTACTGAGTAGCTAAGAGTTCTCCCCAAAGAAAAGTATGGGAAGAAAATGCATGTTAATTAGCGTAACTCATTACATTATACAGATCAAAAGACGAAGTTGTAAACCACAAATACATGTAACTTTTGTACATTAGCTTAGTAAAAAGTCAGCATGAACTTTAGGCTTTGTAAGAGCGAAGCTGAGTTCAACAATACTTCAAAATGCACTGCTTGAGTAAAAGGTATGCTGGAAAGTTAACATTTATTCAAATAAAGGCTATCATGAGGATGAAGATAAGGCAGGCTATAATTCTAGAATTTCAAGACAAACACAAAACATACATTCTTATAACATTTCCTCTAATTTTTCACAAAGCTATAAGTTTCAAATAATTTTTAAAAGTGAAATTGTCTCACTCTGTGAAAGCTGGTACAAATAGACAAGACTTTGATTTAAATATATATTTTCGATTAATTCATAACAGATCCCTACATCTCTGAATATTAAAAATGACAACCCAGGTACTTTTGTATAATAAAGTAAACTACAAGTGAAATCAGATATCAAATAAAAGTGTTATTAAGAACTTGAAAGGCCTGGTAACGCAGTAATGAAGTCATCATAATTACATCATCAAGAGCAATAATGAATTATCCTATTCAAAAAATTTAATGAATGGTGGTCATTTTGGTGTTACAAAAGCAGAAGGCTAATACCTCAAAATTATGTGGCATGTTTCTTTCCAAAACTTATGTTTCATCTTTCAAAATTGCCGTGCACTAGGGAGGCAAAACAATTTTCTGTGATGGAGAAATTGAAGGACGAAGAGGTAAGTGGTTTGTCTGAGTCACAGAGTGGGTCAATCCGATGTTTAATATAAAGGGATGCCTGGCCCAGCCTCCTTCCTTAAAATCTTCCACTATGCAGTGGGGGAAGGGAGTATTAGAGATCTTTCTGCTGAGGAAAGGCTATGATTGATACGATTGAGAAATTAATTGTGAAGACCTCATCCACACCAAAATAGAAGCAAAGAAAAACAAAACTAATCCAAACCACACTGGCTTATTCATCCCGTGGCACCAAAAGGCACTGCCATTGAAACATAAAACGGTCTGCCTTCAGCACGAGTCCTTTGGGAAAGAATTTCTTGGACCGCATTACAAGTTGTGCATGTGTGAGCTAGCAAGAGGCAGGGGCTGAGAAGATAGAAAATGGAGGCATCCAAATGCCTGCTGATATCTCAGGAAAGTGTGGGGCTTGGTAGCTACGGGACATTAAAACAAACAACAGAGGAATAAAAATAATTTTAATAAGTGATGATTTAAAGATCTCCATGTCTTATTTATAGTTTAATTTCTGCTTCCATTTTGCCTTCCGTTAGAACCAGTTGTTTACAAGTCTTTGGAGTTTCAAGAATGTACCTGATTCAGGGTTTTCATGCTTTTCTCTGTAATCCCTGGATTATAGTGGTCACATCCTCAGTCTGCCTACTCACAAATGGTGTAGAGTCACAGAGGAAGACACTGTGTTCTATTATACTCCACATGGAATACACTTCTAGTTCTGATAAAATGCTTATCTCAAAGACATACGTGACTCTGGCATGCTTCACTAAGGTGAAGACGTGGTGACTCCGTGAGTGCCCACCCTGGTGACAAGGGTGGGGACGGATTTCCCCTTCAGTGCCTAGCATCTGACGCCTATGTATGTGCAGTTTAATTTTCTAACGTCTGTGGTGAATTATCCCCTGGGAAGCTGATAAATATGTGCTAACAAGCAAAATGCATATTATTTTAGAGAATATGTCTAAAATTATTATTTTAATCCTCTGTTATACTCGGACAATTACTCTGCCTGAAGATCCTATTTCAGTAGTCAAGATTTTTAAGCTAAATAATTCTCTTGACGTCTTTTGAGAATGGCAAATGTTCTTGGGGCTCCTTTTCCAGATACACATCCTTCACTGTGGAACCAGTGACCTCCCAAAACAAAGCCACTCAGGGATGGATTCTACAAACAGGTGCTACCGGGATTCACAGACTGAGCTCTGGGTAGAGGATGCTTGGTCTGCCACTCACACCCTGAGTCTGAGATCTTGAGCTTTTAAACTCCCCAGCCTAGGATTCCTCGTCTGTAAATGCAGATTGCAATCTCCCCTTCACAGGAAGGATGCTGGAGACACAAAACTGCGTGTGACGACAATTACATATTGCTATGTTAGAAATCATTACCCAAGCGAGTTATTTGTAAATGATCATGTGAACCAGTTCTGTGATTTGAAACTAAACTGAGAGCCTTTAAACAAAGCAGCGAATAACAAACCATGTATGGGATGCTGTTTTTAATAAGGTTCTCAGTCCAAATACGCAAGAAATAGAAGCGAGTTCATGTAAAAAGCGTCACTGCGCTGGCTTGGGCTGGGGCACTGTCACTCACACTGAGTGGGGATGACACAGCTGGAAGCCCCAGAGTGATGTTGGGCAGGGAGGGGGAGGTGTAGAGGCTGAGCAGGTTCATGGAATCTTCGTGAATCAGAATGCGTTGCTGCGGAACCAGCTGCTGTTGAAAAAAAAATGAGAAAAGGAGATTCTTAAAATATTAGAAATTCATCAGTTTTCTTGGTAAATGCTCAAATTCCATAAGGCAGTTTCTGTGTTACCATAGCAGAGAAAGACTGCAGTGCTTACTGCTTGCTTCTATATAATACTCAGGCATTAGAGTGTAAAATTTAAATGATTTTTTATCAGAAAGCCATAATATGGTGAAAGTCATAAAATATGGTGAAAGAATTTCTATTTTCATTGTGAAGAATTCTTTTGGAAATCTGGCTTTGCGGAATATAATTAACATGTTTGTCACGTATCAGGAAAATACCAGAATTAATTTGGTGACTGATACACATTTATAGTCCTTCCCGTACAACAACAGCCACAGCTTCGCCCACGGTCTCACGCCACTGTTCTGAGAGGAGAGCCACAAGAGTTCAGGCTTCTACATTAATCACATTTTAATATAAAATTATCAATAAACTATGGGTGGTGTAATTTCACATCATACACTTTCAAAACTAAATTTAAAATGTTACGGTATCTCTACTTGACAGTAATATGCATTTATAAAGAAATACCTTCAACCTTTTGGCGTCTCAGTACTTTTTACAACAAATAGCTGTTTAACCCAATACTAAGAGATGTGTGTTCCCACATGTGGCTTACAATGGCTGCTTAACTTACATTTTCTGCTTTCCTCTTGCTCCCTCCCAGATCTTTTATACAAGAAGAGTTCCAAAGGTCTTATTAGACCAGGGAACTCTGGCCTGATACGGTTCCCAAGGGTACAACATCCTGAAAAAGAATACCCCATGTAACAGTGTGGCACAGTGACTGCTTTCTTCCCAAACAAAAAGCATATGGGACTCCAATAATAGACCACCTCCAAGAGGGATATTGCACGCACGGGCTTTGACTAAAGTAAATATAATAACTTGTCAAGCATGTTTGGAGGAGCTGTAGATTTTCCCCGGGACAAACCTGGGATATCAATTAACAAGGGGAAATATCACGTGCCAACACAACACAGCCTCAGAATGTCACCGAAGAATGATGCACCAGGAAAACACAGGATGTTATTCCAGAACGTTATCTCAATCATAGGACTGTTTGGAGATGAGTCTCAGCCCTAACATAATACAAGCAGAAGCTTAGCATGGGGTTTTCCCACTGCAGCCTGGAGCTCTAACTCAGGCTGTGTTTCTTCTTAAAAGAACATGTCAGTTATTCATGCATGAGAATTGTGTGTTATGTCAAACTATTAATGCTCCATTGAGTTTATATGGCGAAATTAAAGATGCCTAAGCCTCCAAAGCATGACGATTATTGGGAAAGATTTTTAAATTATAATGTATGAGATTATAATTTTATTTTAGGAGTTTTGGGTAACAGTTATGTGTTTGCTCAAAGTAAAATAGCAAGCAACTATTTTGTTTATAAAATGGGCTTTGAAATCAGTTTTAATATATAATATATGCACGGAACACAAAAGATGCAAAGAAGTAAAAATGTTTTATTAGCTCACTGGCAGCTAATACTCTTTCAAAATGAAGAAACAGTCCACTCATCTATATTCATAAAAGAGGAAAAAATGTGGAGAAAGAGCCACTTCAATTACGAAGTGCCATTCAAAGTTGACTGCTTCCCACAATAACCACATGACAGAATCTCTGGCAGGAGAGTCCATAGGCCTCAGAGAGGAAGTTGTCTCCACACATGGGCTGAAGTCTGTAAACCCTCCTGCCCCATAACACAAAGACAACACAGTAGGTGTAAAGACGGTTTCTTTCCAGATGTGGTGATGGGAACAGCTGGCAGGCAGCTCACACTGGCTCTGGCAGAAGTGGGAGGGATTTGTGGATACTTCTTTGCTGGGATTGCAGACCCCAGAAATTTATATAGAAATTGTGTGACTCCATCTCTCACGTGGTGCATTCATTTTCAGGATCTATCAAGTACCAAGTCCTGGAGGTTAGCATCTTCTTCGCTAATCCTCTCAAACTACCTCATAGTTCAGGCAAGAAGACTGAGCATGCGCATGAAGAGGAGCCGCCTCACAGCGGGACCAGCAGCAACAGTTACCAGTTCATCCAACTCTGAGACCACCCTCTTCCCCAACGGAAGCGAGAGAAACAAGGAGGATTGATACCACATTTGAGAAAAGCCCTAAGCCTTACGAAGAGAAGCAAAGGAGAGAGTGTGAAGCCTCCTAAGAAGACAGCCCTGACCACCTTACAACCAGGAAGAACTGCTGACCATGGCAGACATTGCCTAAGGTTCTGCAGAACTCGAGGGCTGTTCTTTGCGCCCATGTCTGTGGATACAGTTGGTCCTCCTCACAGACCGGAGCACCATATGGGGCGTAGGCATTGCTTGTCTCTCAACTGTAACGAGGGCACTAGGCACAGAGTTTAAGGAGGTTTCCAGCATTGCAGATCTAGAACCTCCTAGTGGGCAACTGTTTCCTACAAATCTGCCCTTTTGTTCACAGCTTTCCCCAGTTAGGGTTTTGATAGGAACAGTCTATCTGTTCTGGGCCTTAATAAAATCTGAGTGCAGACAGATGGGGCAGAGCCATTTACCTAGACAATGAGGGATCCTGACCTGTGCTCTCATGGGCTTTAGTGCTCCCCACCTCAGCACTGACCCACTGTGTGCTCTCACGGGCTGTGGTGCTCCCCACCTCAGCACTGACCCACTGTGTTCTTTCACAGGGTGGCATGCTCCCCACTTCAGAACTGATCTACTGTGTGCTCTCTAACAGGCTGTGGTGCTCCCCACCTCAGCACTGACTCACTGTGTGCTCTCCCACAGGCTGTGATGCGCCACACCTCAGAACTGACCCACTGTGTGTTCTCTCACAGGCTGTGGTGCTCCCTACCTCAGCACTGAGCTACTGTGTGGTCTCACAGGCTGGTGTGCTCCCCGCCTCAGAACTGACCTACTGTGTACTGACACCTCAGCATTGTGATAAATGTACGCAGATTCAAAGTAAAACACAGAGCATTTCTAGAAGATGGTTTCAGAAAGCCCATTCCGGGTGCTGTATTGCTAAGATGTCAACGTGTCACAACTTAGAACACTGGAAAGGTGGCTTTAACATAAAACCTTTCCACAACTGCAAACGCGCATTGTAGAGAGATGAACTGGAAGCAGTAAACGCAAGGCTATCATACAAGCTCTATGAAGCCTGTGATGATTAGCTCGTCAGGGTTGAGTCCTGCGCCTCTCGTCCTCAGTGGCTGGTCAGTTATGAAGAGAAAGGAGAACAAATATCACCAGTCCATTATCACCACCACTACTGCATTAAAGTCAGAACATGGGAATGGCACAAAGGACAAAGTTAATGCAATCCCGGGCTTTCATGGGTAACTGGTAATTCACCAGGAACCGTGAAGCTGGAGTGTGGGGGGGGGTCCACCTTTTAGTAAAACGCTTCAAAATTGTATTTTTACTTCTTTTCTCACTACAATGTCAATTGGGAGAAGGTCTTATAGATACATAAAGTATACATAGACTGAAAAATATGCCCCTCAGAGGAGACTCAGCTATTGACAGTAAGATAATACTGACTTAAAGAAATAGAATCAGGTCTGTTGATGCTCTGGATGGAGGGAACTAAAAGTTACAGGTGCAGCACTTCTGCTAACAATTCAGAAATGTAAACCATCACTACAACACATACCAAGAACCGAGGGACTCCTCTCCTGGACAAGGGAGCTTACAGAACATCTCCTGTGAAGGCTGTCAGGATGTCTGAGACAACACTCCTTAGCCTGTCTCGCCAAGGAATAGGACGGGGTAGAGAAAGCTGAGCAGCAGGCACTGTGGGCTTTTACAGTGATCAAAAGCATTCAGCAGCTACTACTGGATCTAAACCATGCGGTCAGCGATAATGTAAGACGTAAGACGTGAGATGAGGTCATGATGCTGGCCACCCATGTTCTCTAAAATCCACGAGACACAACCATAAGGACAAGCTTTGTAAGAGAAAACACAGGGCAAACCCCAGAAATGCCACTGCTCTGCAGGCAAGAAACATAGAAGGGGAGGAAGAAGAGGGAAGGAAGGAGGGAGGAGGAAAAGGTGACAGGGAGCGGGGAAAGGTGCCTTTACTACTGGCACCTCTGACTTGGAAATGAGTATGTAATACCTGCCTACTTTTGATGAACCCACAGAACACATGCTCACTTTACTGAATATTCAAAATTATCTACAATAGGCCAGAGAATCAGAAAAAGAAATACAGACCTGGAGGAATAAAACAAATGTTTATTGTGAACATTTCACATCTGCGCTCTGCCACGTGTGGGCTATGGATGCAGCCACCTACCTTACCTAGAAAACAGAGACGCTCTGACTATGTCAGCAGGTAGCACCCGTGTCTATCAGGACGGGCTACAGGAAGACATACTTGTGTCAATTGAGTTTGAATTAAAGTGGTATACTGTTTAAAAACAAGACAGTCACATTTTTAAAAAAAGCCCTTAATAACTTAATATTTGCCAATGGCTTTAACCGTATTTTTCAAGATTGTATCTCTTTTCTATGCTTTGTTCAGACAAATGATACACAAAGTTCTGCATGGTAAAGAAAGAATTATTTCCAGGAAGTAAAGCTCTTGAAGTTTGAAGTTTTCATTTTACATTGAAGGTCATATTACTATAAAATGTGGGATAAAATTTTGAGGATAATAATAGCAATAATTTTTATTAAAATTTTTCATACACTCCATTCTTCGCCTTCCCCAAGTCCTCCGTGATCGCTCCCATCTCCCTACACACCTAAGGTCATGTTCTCTCTCTCTCTCTTTCTTCTCTCAATAAAGTAACAAAAAGTCAAAGCAAATTAAAATCAAAACAAATAAATCAAGATGAGAGACACCAAAACAAAATCAACAAAGAGCCCACAAAGAAAACATGGAGTCTATGTTGTGTTGGCCAACCATACCTGAGCACGAGGCCTGCCTTGGGATGCAGTTGATATATTCAGGGTCACTCCACTGGAGAAAACTGGAAGTTGGAATTTTAATTTTATTTATGTATGTGTGTGCATATACGCACATATCAGTATGGGTACCCCAGGGGACCAGAAGAAGGTGTCAGATTTCCTGGAGCTGGGTTTACAAGCGGCTGTGTGTCCCCCAACATGGATGCTGGGAGTGGAACTTGGGTCCTCCAGAGAAACAGCAGGAGCTGCCGAACGGCTAAGAGGCCTGGGAGTTTGCTTTCTAACTCTGCATTTCTATTTTTATGAAAGATCTTGCTTTGTAATATTGGCTCATGTGATTATTGTGTCATAACAATTTCTTTTCCAAGTGGGGGCCGAGTTCTAATTGCTGCCATATGAACCGTCGCTCTGAGGTACCCACTTAAGTAAGGCAGCAAACGCCATGACAGCTGTTACAAAACAACAGGCAGATGAATCATGGAGGCTGGAGCGACACAGCATCTCCAGGGATCTTAAAACGTTTAGCCTTAGTATTAGAATTATTTTTTTAAAAAAAAATCATTTGCTTTTGCTGGATTTTTTTTTAAATAAAATAACATCAGACACGGCCACTAATGTCAAACTAGAAATAAGCCAGCAGCTTGGCTACGGCTAAGATAGCTATCAAATAAATCTACGGGATCCAGCGTCATGGTGTTGTTACCCATGGAATCATATTTGAACCCACAGGCCCACAGGATTAGCAATCCAAGCAACGAGATGGCTAGAGACATCTCTGACGGGAGCTGGAAACAGAAACGCTTGAGGTTTTTAGTTCCCAACCAAGTCTGCCGAGGAGTAAAGTGAGTAGCTGCACCAGTCTGCACTCCAGGACGGAGAAAGGAGAGAGAAGCAGCAGCAGCGGTCAGAGCAGACGGAAGATGGAGACGCGCTCTTGGACGAAAGCTACTGGCCTGAAGACACACAGCTTAGTGAGTTTTCCCTATGAGGAGTCCACGCTGATGATAACAAAAGTGAACTTGTTTCAGATTTCCCGAGGTACGGCCTGCCTTGCCAGCAGCTACTCTTTCCCACAAAGGGGCAGGAACCAGCCTTCCACCGTCTCATCCATCGGGAAGCTGAGGGTTAACAGAAGTTTGACAACTTGACCAACAGTTGGTTTTGTAGCAATGCCCAGGCCCAACCTCCAAACAGAATCCATAGACATCACCCATTATATTCAGGTGCATCCTGCGTTGCGATCCCAAGTACATTCTCCCTCAAGTCCTGCCTTTGCCTCATCTCAATCAGGTGGGATTTGCACCTTATATGATAGAAAACAAAACAGGCTCAAGAACTTTGGGGGTCCCTTTTCCAATGTCCTAAGCAGCAGATGCAAATAGAATCCCGTTCATTCATGCGTGGTCTCAAAGAAGTAGGTACATTATTTTCTCCTTAACAGGCCACGGTACAGAGAGCCATGTACACCCAGGCTGTATTTTTTTTTTTTAACTTGGTGACTGGGGTTTGTCTAGGGCCTTCCGTGTGCCAGGCAAGGACCGCAGCACTAAGAGACACATGCAACTCTGTCTTTTTTCCCTTTTCCCATCCAGATGGGTTTTCACAATGTGACTTTGTACCCCAGGCAGACTGTGAACTTGAAATATTCCTTTTACACCCCCCCCCCCGTGTTATTCGATCAAAGCAGAATAGTCTATAAATGACGCATTACACAACTGAGGGGCTCGGAATCTCATTGTGGGAGGAATTTTGACCTCAAGCTTCCTGTTGCTATGAAATCACATTCTATTATTAATCTTAGAGGGTAGCTGTGAAAATCACACAGGGAATTCGAAGACACACTTTCCTGTGTCTGGTTTCTCTAGGTGGTAGCAGACCACAGCCAGGATGTTAATTCACTGAGAGACGGCCTAAGTTCTGCTGCCTCCTCACCTACCCAGGATGAATTACACTACAGAACTCCATGAATGTGATGCAGCAGAAAAACACATGTTAGCCATCAGGGTCGCATTTTTGTTTCTGGGCCACAGAAAGGCTGCCCATCAGTGCATGAAGGTCTGCCCACCTGGCCTTTGGGAGCACAGTTCAGACATACAATTAATTCATTATGAGGTAAGTCACTGCTTGCTTTTGAACTAGCCTTGCCAGCACTGGAAGAGAATGTCCTGCCACTGACCTGGAGAAATCCCTCTACCCTTTAAACTCCACTAAATCACATTTCCTTCTGTTTTGTTGTGTTTTTCTTTTTTGGGCTGGTGTGGGTGGGAGGAAAGAGGAAAGATTTGCAGTGGAATACACTCAACAGCTAGCTGAAAAGTTGGGATAGCCAAACGTAGTCCGTGAGAGTAAAAGATTGAAGAATACAAAACGGATTGAAATAAATAAAATGCCTTAATTTATAACCTTCATCCTCTCTGTCTCTGTGCAAACATACAGCTACACACACACATATAGATACAGGGATGAAATTAGGGTTAAGCAATCTAAACAGTTTAGTAGGTCCCAAATAGCCAGAAAAGAAAATCCTTCCATTTTTCCATTTTGCTCCCAGTAACGTTTCTTCCTGGTTTTCTTTCCACTTTAACAGAGAAGTGGATGGATGAGTTTATAATGAAAAGCTAAGAATGTCTTCTCCAGCAGTTCTCAAACCACACTTTCTTTGTCCTCCCTCTGAACTTGAATCCCACAGGCTTGTCCTCACGCCTCTGTACCCCTTCACGAAACAGGCTTGGATAGATACTGTAATTCTTTCTGCATCTAATAAAATGTGAGCATGCACTCACTGAGGAGCCAAAGCCAGGGCACCGACATCACCACACTGTGCATTACCTGGACGGATGAACGGTGAACCACAGGCTGTCACTTCTCAAGAGTACAGACAGCCCCAGGAGCGATCATAACCTAACCCCGACACGTTTACGTGGTTCCTGAGAACAGCATCGTTCAAATGAAAGTGGAAATAGAACACTTATTTACTTACTATTTGTGAGGAAATTGTTCTGTTCTTGGAAATAATTAAAGGGTCATAGAAAAATCCCTCGTTATGAGGATGCAATCTCAACACTGAGAGTCCTGCTTACATGTGGGACCACAAGTAGTCACAGAATATTCTAGCTCACATCATTATTGGAGAGCATAATGCAAGATACGTAGAGAGGAACTAGATGGCGAGAAGCAGGAAGTTGATGGATGACTTAGAGATCCGCATAAGGGTCTGGGTGGAAGTTGGTCAGCCTTCCAGCAGCCACGGCTCACCAGGGGGGCCTCTGTCTTTTCTGCTCATGCTCTCAGGCATGAGTAGAGTTTTAGGAGAAGCTGTGCTAATGTGAGGAGGAGTCACATCTGCTCTGTCAGGCACCTGGAGGCTGCACATACGCGGATGCAGGGCCAGGCTGTGACTTCTTCAGGGACACCACACAGACTCACTCACGGCTAAACTCCTCAGGCAGGGAATCTGCCACTGTTGGGGTGAGGGGAGCTTAGACAGTTGGGATCCCAGCACGATGCTGTGAACGTCTGTACTTAGCGTGTTCTTCTCGCCCAGAACTCGGCCTGCTCTTCCCTCCTGAACGTTTTGAGTTTATGAGAACCCAAAGGTCAATGTGAAGACCTTGAATCTTTTAAAGCAAAAGTGACTCCCAGGCTTTTCAGAGACAACCTCCATTTCCACCTGATGATTTCATAAGGACTAGTAGTCTACGTGTGTGCCAATGCATTTGTGTGTGCATGTGACATGTATGGAACTCCTGACTGGAGGACATTTCTGTCAGCGACGATGGTTGTTTAAAATCATTGGGTTCCATCAGGAGACAGTACTGTGATTCCTCTGCAGGCAGAGGTGTTTTGGTACAGTGTGGATAACTCAATGGCATCAACACTACAGATACAACCCAAGGAATGACAGATTTGACAGTGTCTCTTAGTCTCAAAGTACCAAGACTATAAACTGTAAGAGGAGAGGCAAGTAACAGTTACACACTAGAGCAAATCACAGCAACTTCTTCTGACAGAGGAAGAATAGGAGGAAGGCAGTATGACACAGAAGAAAAAAAATTAGGGCTTCAGTCTCCGACCAGTCTGTTCAAAGTAGTTCCATTAACACGGCTATGCAGACTGCTACCTCAGCACCGTCTAATAAAGCAAGCACAGTAACTCTTCCTGACAGCCACTTTCTTCTTAGTGTCGTGCGTCACTGACTATAACAAATGACAATATTTTAAAACAATCTTCTATACTAAGTCACTTTAAGTAATGGAGTTCCCATTTTTATTCATGAATAAAGTGGTATATACATACCACTAGGCAAAATACAATCATGTAGGAAATACTAAACAGTGCTTGCTCTGGGAGCTCTAGCTCCCTCAGTCAAAATACAGACATCACTTGCTTTCTATTATACTCCAGGTGAAATGAATGAAACCTATCCTGTTAGCAGTTAGTGTGAGAGGCCTACATGGACTTTGTTGGATTTTTATGGGTGTAGTCCTACTAGAAAAACAAACACCCAGGCAGGATGACAAATCCAGGCATCATTGGGCAATACAGACGCAGCACAGCTGAGAAAGTAGGAATGCTGGCTTGCATGGAGGTGTTTCTCCAACATGGGTGTCAGCAAAACATCTCTAAATATAATCAGGTTTACTCAAATCCACATATAAAAACCATCATCAATATGATGCCTAGTAAAAAAGACAGCTAAACGTTCTTCATAGCGGGGAATACTTGGGCTCTGTGTATAAACCTGTAATGTTTGAACGTGAGGAGGCCTGGACTCAGGGAACTAACACTCTGTATCATAGAAACAGTTTCCAGAAGTAGAAGGAGAGGGGCCTTACCTCAGGGAGAGGCGTGGGAGGCATGACTGAAGCCTCATTTTCGGGGACATTTCCGGTGGGCCCATTGTTAGGTGAACTGGGACCAGACCCTGGGGAGCTGCTACTGACCGAAGACTCTGAAAAACATGGGGAAGCACACATACATTCGTGAACAATACACAGAGATCAGCTCCGCTGGCTATAATATGTAGTGCCAGTCAAGGTGTTTGAATGGCAGGCGTTACACAAAAAGAAGCAAGGACATGTTTGGACTGTTTCTAAAGTCTTCTGTCTCCCCACTCTGTTTCGAGCTGTCAGAAGTGCTATACAGTATTGACAGTTCTATCAAAGGTACGAGCAATTAAAGGTCACAGAAGCCATTGCTGAAAAGGCAAACAAGAAAGGCACAGTCTTTTCCTTACTCTCATGCTATCATAACAGCATACAGAGATAGAGATGATACATCTGCTCATGGGGTAAAGGAAGCTGTCAGCACATCGGAGAAGTCCAGGGCAAGTGGCCCTGATGCTAACTGTATATTGATCTTTATTTGATACACTAAGAGTAAACCTTATTATAGTGCATGCCAGTCAAATTGTTTGAGGAAAAAATAAATAGAAACTAAAAGTTTGTACATTTCATTGATGATCTTATAAAATGTCAGGTGACTTTAATTTTACCCCCATTGAATTTCTGGAAGATGAAATGTTGCCAATTTAGTAGTGTACATATTTAACTACCAATGAATAAGAAATTCCTTGTGGCAAAAATTTGAAAACAGTATAGACTACTTGATAATCTTCAGATAAAAAATTCATATGGACCCCAACATGTAAAGAAACTAATGTGTTTTAAAAACATCAAATTAAAAACTGAAAATTCCAATTCCTAAAAACAGAGCTGCCCAAATCATTGTATTGAACATTGGGAAATTATCCAATTATGCCCCCCATGCCCCCCTCTGCAGTCACTTCTGGTGTTGTCTAAGCGCCTCATCCACACTGTGCTAACCCCGCTCTGCTCAATGGCATGGTCTCTCACTCTTCAGGGACTGAGAGATGGGACATCATTCCCACCCGCACATTTTCCTTCCTGCCGTGACTGCACTCAGCTGCTGGAACTCTTCCTAAGCTTTACAAAGCTATGGCTCTCATTCCTCTCCCTCTCCCAGTGACTGCACATATAAATCTTACCCTACCCTTTTACTGCTTCCATACATGGTTCCCTCGGTTCCTCACAATCCCCATTCCCTTCTAGACTGAGATGGGCCTACTCTTGGGACTGGCCCCTCATCTGACAGAAGGCAGTCCTTGAGTAGAACGGTTCCCTCAAGGCTGGCTCATTCTCTGCCGCCATGGTTTACTCTGACAACTGCACCCTTTCTTCCAAACACCACCAAAGTCGACTGCTTTAACAAAGCAGTCCCATTCGCCCACGCCTTCCTCTGTGCTCAGGATTCCTTTTCCTCCCATCAGTCTCTGCACACGGACGTGCACTGAGTTGGCAACTGTACTGTCTCTGTGTCTGCGTTGACGCTGAATCCTATCTTTGGGCACACTACTTTCACGGATGTTGTATTTCTTGTGTAACGCTCAAAAATTCTAGTCTGACTTCCTTTAGAATGTTGGATTTTTCAACAATGTATTTTATTTGTACTTTGTGTGTGTGTGTGTGTGTAAATCCCTAGAGAGGCCAGAAGGAGTCAGCACCCCCCCCCCAGCTGGAATTATAGTCAGTTGTAAGCTGCACCAAATGGTGAGAAAAATCAGGAGTCCTCTAGAAGAGCAGCAAAGTCCTCTTATAACCACTGAGCCATCTCTCCAGGCCAGAATTTTGGGTATGTTTAATCCTGAAATACATGTGTGGAGATCACATCGTATTTTAATATGTAGTGTTTCCTGCTGTGCTTGCATTTTACCCCCCATGCTCAGAGTCATCCCTGTTCTTTCACCGGAGCCACCCGCCTTCCATCTCCCTCTTCATCGAATCTTATGCATGTCTGACGACTGCCATTCCAGTCTAATTGTTGATTACCGTCTCTTACGCTGTGGCATAAGCTCTGACTGTTCAGAGTCACCAGAGTAATCTCTAAAGATTTTCTTTAAAGTTCTTCCCAGAAGAATCCGACAGAATGTTTTCACCATCTATTCCTACGCTTGCCCTTCCTGCTCTCGGCTCCGCACAAACACGCACTTTCCCACATCAAGATTTGCACACTCCATGTCTACTGCCGACCTCACTCGTTGGCTTCACTAATCCCCGGGAAATTTAGATATATGTGCCGTCTGCCCCCATTGATCAGGGGCCCACAAGTTCCAAACAGTATTTTCTTGACCTCCATCAAAATATCTTCCAGCTCTCAACTCTCGGTCCTAAATGTTGCTTCTTTACAGCATGGTGTAATTAGAAGGATGGGGAATTGGTCAATGAATTCTGGTCCTGACACTGGTTTATTATGGCATTTGAGCAAATTACTGGTACCACAAAAAGCTCCGTCCCATATGCTCAATGCCTTTCTGTTAATATATTTTGATAACACTGAGATCAATCTCGTTGTTCCCAACACTGCCTTGTATAATTATCTTCTTTCTCTCTTTGTGCATATTTCTTTCTTTGAAACACAGTCACACCATCCAATCTGGAGAGCTCAAACTCGTGACCTCTCTCTGTCACCCTAGTGCTTGCATTATTAACAGACATGCATTACTACATGTAACGTAGTAATACAACAGACATGCATTACTACAGGCACGTAGCTTTTTTTGATTTTATTTTTTTTAATGCACTTAAAAATTCCTGCAGACACTTCTTCTCCTGACTGACATCACCAGGGTGGCTGTGCCTTCTCACCACTATTCCATTCCCACATCTTTAAAAACACAACATTCTTAAACATTCTTCTGTCTTTACCACCTTAAATGATCTGCCTTAGTGTGCTATCAGAACAAAAGTGTTTTGTTGTCTAGAGACCCCTGTGATTACAGCGTATCAACCTCAGTAACAGGACGCTACCCCACACCCTGGTGAGGAACTGAGAACCAGTAGTGAGTGCGTTTGTGGACGAACTGGGGGAACCTAGGAGAAGGGATGACTTTGGACCTGTACTTGGAGAAGAAGAAATATTTGGTGAACATGGAGCACCGGAGGAGAGGAAAGACCACAGCAGGCACCGGGCTGAGCCAGGGCACAGAGTTTTCAAGGACAACGTCCTGGAGGAAGAGCGGCAGAAAAAACCTGAACTTGAAAATGTGTGAAGTGGCAATTTGCTCTTACGTATTATTATGAAGAGGGGAAAGAGAAAAAGGGAGCAGACGCTTCAAAGAAAAAAGGTAGAGAAGAGAGTAGCAGAAGTGCCGGTGTGACAGGTGTGACAGCTACGGCATGTGGCAGCCTCCAGCCGGGCACCAAAACATTTACTAGCTTCCAAATTAGGTGGAAGTCCGCTGAGAACTGGGAAGGGCACCAGGGTAGACACCCTGTGCTGAAGTTCAGGTCCTCCAAATACACTTTGATTCCGTGGAAAATACTCATTTAAAATAAGAAGTAGTAAATATAAAGTTCATCAGAGGATCTGCCGGGACCAGCTCACAGGCTGGAAGTGTATGAAAGCAGCAACCACACAAGGCAGGCACATTTCCCCTGTTTCACGGGATGAAAAGGAATGCTTCCTAATTTTTATCCCATAAAATTGAGGGGAAAAAGAATCTATAGTTTAAAACTTAGAATTTAATTACTATAAATTTGTGATTATATAGATATTAAAAATAAGTTACTGTTCATTTCTTCCAAATTTCTCATCTCCCCCATGGACAAAGTTTTTAAAATATAACCACTAATACTGTTTTTACATAACAATATCGATCTACTGTTAATAGAGAGAAGACCGAAGTGTGTTTTACAAGCTGAAATAAAATATGTCAAAGTTTTTAAAAACACATGAAGGGTGAGGTCAGATCTGAGAGCGCCAACACCATCTACCTACACTGCAGTGGTCACAAGGCTCCTCAGGACAGAGGACAAAGCTCCACCCAGACCTCTTTCCCTGCACTCCGCCCAGGCACCAGGCACTGCTCCGAGCCCCCAGGAAACCCTTCAGGATCTCGCATGCTCGGAAGCAGCAGCCAGCATCATGGCGGTTGGTCTTTTGGGTTCTGATAGTCTTAGGGACTTCTCTAATTTCAAAACAGGTACCATGGGGCGAGGGGTTTTGTAAGATATCAGGCTGAATTTCCTAACCTGTTCACCCCACTTCTAACCAGGCAATTAAAAAAATATGAACTCTTGCATTTGAGACTAGTGAAAATGACAGTCTTTTCCCCTCCATAAAGGGCAGCATTTCCCCCTCCTGCCATGAGTCCCAGGTCACCAGTAAACACATAAAGTCATTTATGAGTTCTGTAAATTTGTTGAAAAGTCAAGGTTTTGGTGTTCCACATAGTTTAATTTTCCCAGATGTATTTCCTACCTTCATGTCTGAGTAGGGGAGGGACATGCTCCTCCTGAACCTCCCTCTGCACATTTCTGATCGGATTTCATTAAAAGCTACAGTCTACTGGTAGGCGCTTCCCCAGTGGATTTCCCCTTTCTAAAAAGAACAGGGCAAGGGCTAGTGTTGCTTAGCTGTGCTTTGATTGACACAGACATGGTCTCCCCCTTTAATTTTCTGCATTGTGCAGCTGGTGAATGCATAGCAAGGTAGACTTAACTGCTGGTGAGCTTTCAAAGAAATTGCCTTTCGAGAAATAGTTGTCACAATAAGTTTTATTAATGAACAGGCATATTTATTCTAAACTTTAAAAATTCCTATGCCCCGCAAGTGTTAGTGTGTGACTACCCGGCCCTCAATTACCTGTCACCTCAAACACTCTCTTCTTGAATGAAGTGACAGCGTTCCCGTCCTTCCGCCTGAGTAAGGGGCTGCTTCTCCTCTCTGCCACTTTCTGTTTTAACCTGGACCGCACCTTCAAGTTGGGCTCTGAGGCTGGGAATTGAGACAAAGAAAATAGATAAAAATTAAAAAATAAAGAGCCAATTGCTCCTGTGTCTAAACTTAAAAAAAAAATAAGACTATCTTCTCCTGGTCCATTCTTCTCAAATTAAAAAACCCAACCACGTATATAAGGTGTTGACTCTGAATTCATCAAACAGGCAAATATAGTAATCATTCTATAAAGTAAGTTTCACACTTCTCAACATGAATGTGAAATGGAAGCAAAAATCACTCTTCTACTCAACTTTTATCTAGCACAACCATAATTGTTAATGGGAGGTTTAATCACTAATTATAGGTAGGTCTGAATAAGATTTATTAGACGTCACTGGCTGGCCTCCTCATTCTCTCAAGCCTGAAATTCAATAACCACTAAAACAGTAACTTAATGTGAGGTTGGAGACTCTGACCTGACCCTGGCAATAAGAAGACACCTCCGCAGAGCGTAATTTATGCCTGATTCTGACTCCTGAGATATTTCTTTGTCAGTAGCTTCTAACCTAAAACTCTGTGAAAACATCCTTGACACAATGACACAACAGGAATTAGTGAGCTAGAATCCTGCGAGTAACCCTTCCCTGCCTCCAGTACCCAGGCAGGAGAAAGGAAGCTGACCAAGGTGGAATTCAAAGTCTGGAGTTAGGGTATATGTTCGAACACAAACTCACATTACCCATATGCATATGACTATGTCTTTGGCTACATTATTCCAAGTAACAAATCTAAATTGTTATCATTTATTATGATTTTAAATAATTATGTTAGAAGAATGAAAGCATTGGGCCCATCTTCGTGTAGTTGAAGTCCATTATCTGTGATGATGGAGGTGGTGATATGATCACAAGGCTGTTTCTGATAATAACTAACATCAATTTCTATATTGCAATACGACCCTAAGTGCTTTATCAGTACTAACTTACTTATGCTTAAAACATGCATATGGGATATACTATATCTATAATGTTGTAGTGCTGATGAGGAAGTTAAACTCCAGAGGGCAGGTAACTTGCACAGCATAAAAGGGGTGATGGGATGAAGCCAGGCCTGTGCCCAAGCACCCTGCCCTATCCTAACCTTGCTAGGCACTTCTCTTCTACTTACACTGGAACATCATAAAACTTAGAAGATGATAGTCTCCGTAAAGTGCTGCTGATTGCCCACAGGAGACACCATGTTCCTGAACTTTCTGATCAAATGAATAGCAGCAGTAGAATTCAGAGGACCCCCACACCCCTGTGAGACACCAGTGTCCATACTTCTCTGTTCTCTTGTTCTCTTTCCTGTCCCCCCTACCGTGCTGTGGCTTTGGATCTGTTACCTCCATCCTCCCGAGCCTCTGGTTTCAGGATTCCACTGACTGTTCTGCTAGGTCAGACACCTCAGATTTCACACAAGGCTAATTGTATAAATACCACTGTTATTTATAAAGAAAGCAAGGCTGGCCAACTTCTTCTTTTGGTTGGAGGAGATGTATAGAGGGACACAATTATCAAGCTTCAAAAGAAGATTTGACACCATATAATTTTTTGTAGATTACTTTTGTAAATCTAGAAAATACCTGTTTCCAAAAACTAGAAATCATGGGTACACTAGAAACTGCAACATAAACTTATTTTTGAAAAAAACTGTAACACAATCTTCACGAGGAAAGGTCTACTCTATGGTCCTAGCAGAAGCTTCTGTCTGGCTCTCAGTACTTAAAGTCACCAGGGAGAGTATCTCAGGGGTGAGCATGAAAACGTAGTGGCAGGCAGGTCTCAGGCAAGTCTCCGCAGAAGTCTACACAACTCTGTCCAAAACCGGTACAAACAGGTAGCCGGGAGGATTGATGACCTGCTACGTTCCCCTTAGAGGTACTTTCACTTTCAACGCTCTGAGCTCCCTGAAGGCTGAGGATTTCCACGCTACTCACTTGCTAAGCCTCCAAGGTCAGAGGAGATGACTAATTTTGGAGATCTACTTCCCTGTGGACGTGGCTGATGGCTACGCAGCGTGGCTAGCTGCGCTAATCACCTTTCATCTCTACTCCACGTCCATCCCCTACACCTCAGTGAACAAACTGAAGACGTTAGCGTGAATGCTGGCTAAGAGGAACTTTGTACCACAGTAATGTCCAAGGTCCTGGACTGGACACAAAAGGAGCTACGCAGAAGACACCCTACAGTTTTTTCCTTATCTCCTTTCAGAGTGAGGAGAGGAGTCAGCACACACATCTCAACAGTGTTTCATGACTGAGAGGCGTTTTAAATCCTCGTTCTCCTACTCATCTCAGTGGTGCAGAATATACTCAGGGAGGCTGCGTACAAGAATCGAAATCAGGAAATTAGTAGTAAAGTTCAGTCCTAGAAGCCATAGGTTAACAGCTAGGAATCCCGGCACAGCCGCCAGGCTGAGGCTTGGCAACACTAGGAATCCGGTGTCTATGACAGGGTGTTTAAGGATGAGTCAGGGAAAACCATGATTTTCAAGAGTACATGGGCACACAAACCCCCAGGAAAATCTGTGGACATGTGCAAGCTTTTGACACATGGAGACCAGACTCCAACTCCGGTCCTAACTTTCATGTGCTAACCGTAATCACGGGAGAGTAGATGAACTCAGCCAATGTGATCACCTATGAAAACACAGTACAGTAACAACACTGTTCATCACAGTGGGTCTGTCTGAGTGTCTCGTGTGGCCCCTATAAGAGTAAGGAAACTATCCTGAAATAAAATACAACCAATAAGATAAAAATACAGAAAGAGTGATACATGCCTACAACCAGTTGACTCTGGAGCTTAACGCAACACTATCTACTAAAATGCGGTCAGGATGTAAAATAAATAAATAAGTTAAATAAAAAACAATAAAAGCAACAATCAAATTCTTAACTTCCACTATTATTCAAAGTAAATTTATTAGTAACTGACCACATATTTCCTCTGCCTGCTTTGTAAAATATAAATTCTACTGAAATATATCACTACCCATTGAGAATTATTACCTACTATGTGCATTTTATCTTAGTTGAACTTTTAGAAACTAAAATACTATTTTATTTTACATGTATAGCTGTTTTCCCTGCATGTTTATCTGTGCACCACCATGAATGAGTGGCCCATAGAGGTCAGAAGAAGGAACTGGAGTTTCAGATGATGTTTACCACCATGCGGATGCTGGGACTTGTGTCTAAGTTTTCTGGAAGAACAGACAGCATTCTTTTCTGCTGCGCCATCTCTCCAGTCCTCAGTTAACGTTTAGTCCTAGCTTATGAATGCTCTTTACACTAATGATTTTGACATAAATATTTAATATCACACGCATCATAGGATGCAGAATATCTCCACTAGGAATGATAATAAGAAAAAAAGGTGTGATTGAGTTAAAAAAAAAACATTACTTTTGTGAATATCTTAAATAAACACATCAGAATGTTAATTAGGATGCTTATTAACCAAGAATAAGCACTAAATTATTACATATCTCTCATGACAATGATTCTTTGTTTGGGAAATTCAAGGAGTTAGTGCACCTGCCACGAATGTCAGTTTTCTGATCACAGGCAAAAGTCAAGCGTCCAGCGCCAACTTTAGATCCTTTCTTTGACATGATGCATTCTTCCAGATACGCTGGGCATCTGCCAGCTTAGGGGCATTACTTCTCCCGCTTCTGGACTTTTCTTGATGGTCCCTACTTATAGACCGTCATAGGAACTTATGCTTCCAGCCCTCTGTCACTGATAGGGGATAATCGATCACACACTCCATGTGTGTCCTGTGTGGAGATCATGTTTCCAGGGGTAGTTTCTGCCCAGGTCATTCTTCTCACCTACGCTCATGTGTGTTATGCATGTCTCATCAGTATACACCACCATTATGAAAGACACTGGAGAGGCCCAGCATGTTCTCTAACCTAATGAATCAGGAGACATTTCATCAGCAGGCGTGGGATACGTTCCTGTAATCCCACTGCTTGGGAGACACAGGAAGGAGGACAAAGAGCCTGAGAGCCGCTCACGGCTACATAGAAAGACCTGACTGGGAAAATTATGCAAGTTAACCTAGTTAAAAGTACTGCCAGGTGGTGGTGGTGCACACCTTTAATCGCAACACTCAGGAGGCAGAGGCAGGTGGAGCTCTATGAGTTTAAGGTTGGCCTGCTCTACAGAGTGAGTGCAAGGAGAGCCAAGGCTACACAGAGAAACCCTGCCTTGAAACCCTCCCCCAAAACAGAGTTCCATGATTAGATAACCATTACAGATCTTTGAAAATGGTATTCAGGGTTACGCAGTAAGAGCCAACATTTGTAACTCTCTGGCCTGGATAACATAAATCTTTAATATTATGAGTCAGAGTTTATTTCCAATGATAACCATTTAAAATATGAAATTCATATGAAAATTTCTTTAAAAATCATTCGGGGGAAGTTATCTGACTTCTGATAACTAGCCATGCTTGTGGTCATAGGGCAGTGCAGTTTCCTACAGAATTTCTCTCTGAGAAAGTCCGTAGCACGTCTTTCTGCCCTCTTACTGCAAGTATACTAACATGTCTGCTTTGCAACAGAGAATTATTCTGTTTCAAAATCTATTGGTAAACCCTACTCACTAACACAACTCATGGTGAACCTTCTGAAGTGTTCGTTTCATAATATTTATTACTTTATTCTGGTTATACAAATCATATGTGTTTTGGATGTTTAAAAAGGACCAATTAACACTGCCTGATAACATGACTTTTGTGTCTGGATGTAAAAAGTTAAGAAAATGAGAATCAAATTATGTCAGTGATTCTGTTCATACAATAATATATTGTGTGTCCTGTCTCAAGAACTTACATATTCTTGAATACCTTCCCATTTACTTTGCTTTTCACTTAAAAATCTGACATTGGTGGATGTTTATTATTTGTCTACAACTCAAATTACTCCTAGCGACCGGCAAGATGTAAATGGTGCAATGATATTTGTTATAGTGTATTAATTATGGGATAAAAATAAGGAGGATTACA